CATTCCTCATGGTCAGCTTTGTGCTGGAGCCTCTGGACACCGCTGCCATCATGCAAGTCATTAACAACTGTGCTAATGAGTTCCATTAGACTGGAACGGCAGCCCAGAGCGCCCCGGGACAGCCAGGTCCCAAGAGCATATTCCTGGGAGTCCGGGTCTCCAGCCCCAGCGCTGGCAGGTGTCAGCACTCAAATCTGCTTCCATTTACCATGCTTTCTGTCATTTACAGAGCAATCTCTGATGAAGGGCTGGAGGCGATGAGACAAAGAAGGACCACCCCCAAACTGAACCCCCTCTCCTCATGCGATCAGCTTTCCTTCCAGTCCCCCCAGCTCCAGGCCTCTCTTTCCACCCAAACAGGACATTTTTAGCTGGCCCTTTTCTTAGCCAAACCCATAGAGAACCAGGAGGGGAAAAATTGCAAGAGGGGGAAAAAATGCCATCCCCATAGGAAAGTGGTTCCAGAGAGGAGACTCCCCTGGGTTGCAGGATGCTCCGCAATGACCTCAAGAGCTGTTTTTTGTCTGACTCTGTGCTTTTAGCTGGAGTGGAAGATGACAGGTTCTCCTTGCCTGACCAAACCAAAGATTGAGGATGTATCTGTGAAGCTCAATCCCCCAGACAGCCCAGCCTCTGCCCAGGCTTCCTCTGGAGTGCCTCAGACAGCCGAGAGGCTTGCAACAGGACTTGGGAATCTGTGAACTCAGCTTTCAGCCTCCCCTTCTGCAGACTGCTGGGCTGGAGACACAGCAGCTGGTAACGGTTTAAATTAGAGGCTTACATTCACTTAACGACGTATTCAGCTTTGATTTACTGCAGGAATTACTGTGTGTTAAATGAATACAAGCTGATTATTAAACAGACGCAGATTGCAACCTATCATCTATGCAAGAGATGGGATCTTATTACGATATTAGAACCATATTGAGCTTTAGCAACTGTCAATTGGTCCCTCACAATTTGCACTGAGCAACTGTCCCATCGCCATCCCCACTCAGAGACACTTGGCCGGATGCTCAGGCAAACTCCAGCTGTTCCAGACATCTCCAGCAACCCCCACACCCCAAGGGCAGAGCAGGGGGTGCTCCAACCACCATACTCACCCAAGAGGGTCCAGGTCATCCCCACCAACAGCAAAGGGACTCAAGGGGGAAGGCCTGAAACACAGAACACAGTGAGATGTTCAGGAAGGGCAGAGCAGCGGCATGGAGCTATGCCCATAGGTGCTCTCCCACAGCAAGCACTGCAGAACCTGGACAGCCCTAGGACTTGTGTGACCCTGCATGAGGGAGCTGCCTTTGGGAGCCACCCCATGCCCAGGTTGCAGCATTCCCTGCTGCTGGGTGAGGACACTGGTGTACGTGGCAGCAGCTTTCTGAGATGAAGGAGGCCGTGTTTTCCCCTCTGTTGTTCCCACTGCTCCAGGCAGGAGCTATCTGTGCATGTCCAGAGTTTCCATGCCAGGGGATCCCCAAGCAGTGCTGGGCTAGGCCAGGCTCTCCAGCATGTCCCAGATGGAGACACAGCAACAGTCCCAATTCTAGGAATCTGAGGACAGTGGGGAGGTGAGCCTGCAGCCAGCTGCCACATCTCCCTGCCAATAACACACGCCACTAACATGGTTTCAGAGCTGTGACCTTCTCCAGCCTGTCTGTCCAGGCCTCCCCATGGAACCTCTTGAACCCTGATAGTAGACAGCAGTGGGGTGACACACAAGGTGGAAGTCATAGCTGGTCCCTAAAGCATGTCAGACCCACCACAGTATCTCTGACTTCTGGCCAAAGAGGATCACAATGTGTGGGGGAGAAAAGGGGAAGCCTGCTTGCCACATACAAGAGATGAGTGGGCAGGGAGGGATAGCAAAGCAGGTGCCACGTGTCCCCTCTCCCCAGCAATCGTTTCAAGGCAAAAGTGGAGTCAGGAGAGCAAGAAGAGGAGGTCTTGCCCTCTGTCCTGTCTGGGTGCACCTCTGCTGTCCCTCCCAAGGCTGCTCAGCCCCACAATGGCACTGCCCTTCCTACTGGTGCCCCTGCTCTGACAGTCCCTCAGCCAGGACAGAGCAGGGCCACCCTCCTTCACCCCACACCTCACCACAGCCCTGCACCGTGCCTGCTCCCTCCTGGGTCTGTTGGTCCAACACACAACTCCCTCAGCCAGCAACCAAATCAAATCCAAGTGTCCAGGCTGAAAACAGCTGGGAAAGGTCTGGATCCTCTTCACTCCACATCCCATGTGTGCAAGATGGGAACCCGAGGTGTAGTTTGGGGAGCTGTGCCAGGACCACATCCTGTCTCATGGAGGACCCTCAGCATCCACATACTCTTTACTCACCAGGATGGGGCCATCGTGCCTGTTGGCTGCCGGGGAGGGATGTGGAGTGGGTTGTCATCCCGGAGCAAATCCTTTTTGGACTCAGGCTCCTTTTTGGCCTTTTCTGCAGGGGCCCCGAGGGGAGTGATGATGCCTGAAGAGATCCTTGTCCTCAGCTCCTCAGTGTTCTTGTACACCCTGCAGCGAGGAGAGGGAAGGCAGTGGGCTGGGGAGGCCATGGCACTGGGATGTGAGCTTCTGGACAGACTGCAAGAGGTCTGGGGAAGGGACAGACAAGCCCAAGTCCCTGGCACAAAACGTGTCCCCTGCTGGCAGCACAGAGGGGATGAGAAGGGGTAACAGTACACAGGGCACCAAAGCCCACACTCCATTTCAGAGGGCTAAGGTGTCACTCAGCCCTGGGACTCCCTTCTGCTGCGGCCACAACTCAACCAGTTTGCACTGGAGGAAAGCACAGCAGATGGCACTGGTCTTTGGCAAGGCCCTGGGGTGTCTGGTATGTGGCTGAAGCTGTCGCACCCCTGGGCAGTGTCCAAATAGCGCAGCACTCTGGAAGTAAACGTGCTGGCCTGGCCTGTTCCCAAGTGGTGTGGCTCTGCCCTGGGCCCTAACCCACAGTTCTACTGTCCCACAAATCTCTCCTGCCTGACTGCAGCACAGAGGGAGGCAGAGGAGGATGCTCTGGCTGCATTTCAGGGCTGTCGAGCCTGCCCACAGGTTTGTACTGGGGAGGAAGCTTCTTCAGCTCCTCCCAACCTGATTTCTGCCCCTCTCCTCAAACCAGTGGGACATTTCCCCTGCAGAAAATACCAGGGAACTAAGATTACTTGTGGAAATCGTCCAGGTGCTCTGGGTTGATGTAGTCAGCCACTGCCAAGGTCACATCTGCCACCTTCTGAGAGCTGCGATCCTGGCAAAAGAGAGAAAGCACAGAGTGAGCAGCCTGGCAGAGCTGGGAATGAGGGAAGGAGCAGGTACAACCACATCTGAGGGCTTGGGACACAAGGTACAGGGCTCACCTGCTTCCTGCCATGTCCCTGTACTATGCCTAAATCCCCAGGAGCAAACCCCAGTGTACAGCAAGGTCTTCCATGCTCACTCCCCCAATTTGGGCTGCAAAGGGAAAAACACTGAGCAAAACCACCTGGGGAAGCTGCTTGTTGGGAGCTGCAGAAAAGTCTTGACTGGCAAAGAGACAAAAATGGGGTAGCTCCTGGGCTGGTTTGTGCAAGGCAAATTGTCCTGCTGCCCTGACACAGATAGGGTTTGGCCCTCTTTGTGTGCCAGGCAGAACAAGCAACAGCAAACATTTAAGAAATGGGCCCCGCTGTTCTTTGCAGCTGCTAGTCCTGAAGGACCCCAAACCCCCAGGGTACTCACCATAACATTGAGGATCATATTGTCCTCCACCATGATGGCCTTCAGCAGCAGCTCACGAGCATCATCCGTGGACTTGTAGCGCAGCGTATACACCTCCTTGTTGGCTTCCCAGCCGGTGGGAAGCAGCTCTGACTTCCTCTCATCAGGACCTGCCTGCAATGGAACAGACAGGCTACTGAGACCCTGCCCAGGAGCCCAGCATGCCCCCACAGAGGCTGGGAGAACCTGTCTTGGCTGCACAGGGAGATCCAGGAGGGGACTAATGTCTCTGAGAAGGGATCTCTCACTGCCTTCCAGGTTCTGACAGCATGAGCGGGACTGTACTTCCTACAGACTGGCCCTGCCTGCTTATCAGCCTCCCACAGCGTCCCTGTGCTGGAACAGCAGATATGACCACCCTTTGCTGAGCAGGAGTAGGCCACAAAGACCCAGATTATGGTCTGTGGATGATACTCCTCCCTGCCAGGCACCTCTCACCTCCCCAGCATGACACACAGCTATCTGGGGTGGTAGAGAAGGATGTTATCTTGTTTGTCCCAGCCCCACAGCAGTGCTGCTGGAAGGCACTGCCCCCCTACACTGTCCCCTCTTCTGGTACTGGAGAGGTTCTCTGCCATGACAGCACCCTGCACCCCACACTGCCCTTTGTCACCACACCAGGAAACCTCCCAACACCCGCAGCACCACACCAGGCTCCCAGACCCCCACCTTAGCAGTGGTGCAAAACCAGAATCAGGTATTGCCGCAGCCTCGCCAGCACTAGGACCTGCCCTGGCACCACATTTCCTCCCTTGCACTGCGCTGCACACCTGCCTTTTGGTATACAGCGTTCTCCCTCAACACACAGCGCCTCCCAGCACCATATGAACCCCCTTCCCGGGATCACACCGATCCCACCAGACCTCCCATCCTGCGACACCGCACTGA